TATGGAGGCTCCATTTAACTTTCACTGCTGAATGCCATTTGTTGTTCTATCCTTCACCATAAACTTGAGAATTAGAGTACAAAGGGAAATTATGCTTATATTTCCTAGGGATGGAGATTGGATTGCTGGATATAATGCAGAATGATGGCTCTTTCACAAACACATATGGACTGAGGGAAACACATAGATTTGATTTAAGAAAAAAACGACCACGTGGAAGCTGCATTGGCCACTACATGCTACCATTAAGTCACATTAATATAACGCTCTGCATCCTGAGGCCTTGGGGCAGGCCATTCTGCTCACAAAGCCACAATAATAAACCTGAGGGAATAAGATAACCTGCCAGATCGAAAACTAAACAAAATTCCAGTTTGGGATTCCTCGTTCTTAGCAATGGACATCCAAAGCCTGATACGACACGGTCTTATGTTGCTTCTTAGAAATGCTTTCAACAGAGGGCTTCGAAAATGTCAGAACGTCTCCATGCATTTCCCACATACATAGGCTTGATTTATCATGGCTGGCTGGGATAAAGTAATTTCCTCTTGGAAGATCATGGATAATGCAACAGGGTGAAGAGGGGAATCCAGTGTTCAAAGTCTGAAACCCCTTGGCCCCACAACTCTGTAAAATAAAACAGGCACCCTGAAGTGTGACTGGAAAACAACGAAGATGCTGGTATGCTGGGTAACATACGCCCCTCAGGCCCCACCCAGCAGGTGGACTAAAGCAAAGCAACTGAAGCATTCAAACAGTTTTCCAGGACAGTCCCACATCTACAAGGCAACAAATAGTCTAGGCTTGAGGTTACCCCACATCAAGAATGGCCCTGCACCACTTGTTCTGAACTCGAGAGAAAGTCAGAGCTGCCTTCTCATGGTGGTGAGCTGGCAACAAAATGGTTGTGCATATCACTTGTTGGTATGAAATCCTTTTAACTAAACATTTCTTCTTAATTAGTGAGAATTTGTTCACAATGTGCAGCCAGTGTGTCTCAACTCTTGCGTTGCATATTAAAATTACCACATGGTTGATACCCCGAAGACACACACAACTTCAGCTGTTTTCCTACTACCTGTGCCTGCCCTCCCTCTTGCCAACCCATTTTTCTTGAGCACCTAGACCAAACTGTATGCCACAGTCATTTCCACCTCTGCCAGTGCTTCTTTCGGCTTTAAACAGAGACCCAGGAGGGTTATGGATCACAGAGAAGGGGCAGAGCTCAGCAGACACGTCATATTTGCCTGGATAACTGCTGGCTTGGGTAAGGGCTAAGAAAAACACCAGAACACATGATGAGTCTGCCCAGGGGTCATTTGGTAGAAAAAGATGTGCAGGAGCTCATTAGCATAACTCATTTGCATATGCCACACCCCCTGACATCACCAGAAACATCAAGAATGGCCCTGCACCACTTGTTCTGAACTCAAGAGAAAGTCAGAGCTGGCAACAAAACAGTTGTGCTGGTGAGCTGGCAACAAAACAGTTGTGCATATCACTTGTTGGTATGAAATCCTTTTAACTAAACATTTCTTCTTAATTAGTGAGAATTTGTTCACAATGTGCAGCCAGTGTGTCTCAACTCTTGTGCTGCATATTAAAGTTACCACATGGTTGATACCCCGAAGACACACACAACTTCAGCTGTTTTCCTACTACCTGTGCCTGCCCTCCCTCTTGCCAACCCATTTTTCTTGAGCACCTAGACCAAACTGTATGCCACAGTCATTTCCACCTCTGCCAGTGCTTCTTTCGGCTTTAAACAGAGACCCAGGAGGGTTATGGATCACAGAGAAGGGGCAGAGCTCAGCAGTCACGTCATATTTGCCTGGATAACAGCTGGGTAAGGGCTAAGAAAAACACCGGAACACATGATGAGTCTGCCTCATACTGAGTCAGGGCACTGTTCTGTCAAGATCAGTATTGGCCACTATGTCTGGCAGTGGCTCTCCCAGGTCTCAGCATCAGGTACATTGTTATCTGGTACCTGTTGCTTTTAGCTGTAGATGCTGGGGACTGCAAGGAAAGCAGTCAGGACGGATTATACTGGGCTGCATGGGCCACTGCTGGCCTTATTTCTCCTATGTGAATGTATCCTGTTCCTTGTGTCCTATGCCAAGCTAACTGGTTTCACGCATTACGAGACCTTTCCTCTCAGCTGCAGGAGGTGGATGCTTCTCAAGTGCTGCTCATCTGTCACAGACAATACGAAAGACTTCTAAGGGCTCACGAAGCGTAGCTGGAAGGAACCCCGGGAAAGGTACCAAACAGAGCATCAGGTACATTGTTATCTGGTACCTGTTGCTTTTAGCTGTAGATGCTGGGGACTGCAAGGAAAGCAGTCAGGACGGATTATACTGGGCTGCATGGGCCACTGCTGGCCTTATTTCTCCTATGTGAATGTATCCTGTTCCTTGTGTCCTCTTATGCCAAGCTAACTGGTCTCACGCATTACGAGACCTTTCCTCTCAGCTGCAGGAGGTGGATGCTTCTCAAATGCTGCTCATCTGTCACAGACAATACAAAAGACTTCTAACGGCTCACGAAGCGTAGCCGGAAGGAACCCCAGGAAAGGTACCAAACATGGCCCCAGACCCCCACAAAAAAGCCACCCAGAGAGGATCCTGAGGTTCCCCAGCTACCGTGCGTTAGGAACCCAGCTCCACTCACAGCAGGCACACCTCAGTAAGGCAGTCAACAGCGATACCCCAGAGGAATCAGAGTTCCCGCTTCTGATGTGCATATTTTGTACACAACCCTGTATTTGTTCATCCTCCCTCACTTTGTATCTTCCCCCCTAGAAGGACTAACTCAGCTTGCTAACTGTGCAGAGGGACACTGTGCTTACAAACCCAAAGAGTCTGGTGGAGCTTTAAAGATGACCACATTTATTGTGGCAAGTGCGTTTAAGAGCCTGAATCCACTCTGGAGTGCCTTTCCCCCTATATATACACCAAATCACCATTCCACACAGGGGACACAATAACAGTTTGCTCTGAGACCAGAGGAAGTCTGTGCCTCCCAGAAGACCCACAAGAGCCACCCAAGGCTTGGAGGGAGACAAACCCAACCCTGTCAGCCCAAAAACAGCTGCTTGGTGGATCAGACGGAGAGAATGTCCAGGACAGTGTGCATCTAGGGTGCAGGGAGCTTCAGGTGGTGGAGCCCTGAGCTCAGATCTGAGCTCCTCAGATGGTCCAGGTGGACTGTATGGAGGTCGTTTAATGTGGAGAAACAGCAGGTGTGAAGGGGTCCCACTTGCCTGCCAATTTCTCCTTTTAGAAGAAAAAGACAGCCGGATTGGGGTTTTTTTTTGGGGGGGGGTGGGGAATCAGAGGCAAAACAAGACTGGAAGAAAGCTTTAGCCAGACCCTCCCAGGCACACCCTGAAATTGTTCCCCTCCCTCCACGCTCAAGTGGAAATGTTGGGAGCTCCTTGGAGGAAGATGAGGAGGTCAGGCCTGGGAGCGAGAGACGTTTGGCAGCGCCTTCATGCCATCCTCCTCTGCTTGGCCCGGCAGCCTCTCCCGTCGCTCCTTTCCTGCCGGCATTCAGACTCAACTCGTCGGGGGCAGGGCTCGAAGTCTGAGAAACACGCCCCGCCGCCCTGTGTCTGAAGGGCGCAACCCCAGAAAACAGCGCGAAGAGCAAACCCACTCCCAGGGCCCCCGAGCCAGAGTTTCAGCGGTGCAAAGGCTTTTGTGCCGGCTTGGCTGGCGTGCTCCGAGCTCCCGCCTCGCAGGTCACAAGGAGCCAAAGCCGCGCCAAGGCAGGGCAGGGCGGAGGCCACCTCGCAGCCAAGCGCGCCTCCCCAGGCCCCGACAGCGGCGCGACCGATCAGGAGGCGTCCCCGACGGGCGCCCGCCTCGTCAGCGCGCAACCGAGCTCCGGCGTCGGAGCCATTTGCGGCTCCTTTCCCGAGCCTCCCAGGAAGGCTTGGCGGTGCGCGGAACTGGCGCGCTTGGAGAAGGGCCGGCCGACGCCCAGCCGAGGCACCTGCTGGACGTCGTCGAAGAAGGAGGGCGGGTGCTGAGCCATGCTGCGAAACCCGACGGGCCTCCGGGATCGGCGGGGCTACGTTTTGACGGGGGAAGCGGGGGAGACTCCCGCTCCATGCTGCGAAACCCGACGGGCCTCCGGGATCGGCGGGACTACGTTTTGACGGGGAAAGCCCCCCCCCGGACCCCAAGTAACGTCAGCAGGCTGATCTGGCCCCCGGCGACGGGACACACGGCCGGCTCAGCCACCGCCTCTCCTGGAGGAAGTGAAGACGCGACCTGGCGTTGGGGGCCCACTCGGGAAAGCCCGGAGCTGGACGCGCCCTCGGAACCTCCAACTTCCCTCAAAGCTCTGCTGCCAACGTTGTTTCTGGCCGGGCTCCTCTCTCCCTCTGCCGGCAGCGAAAGGGCTGGAGGAAAATGGGAGGTGATGAAACGCCGCCCTCCGGCACGGCCCCCGCAGTACGGGGGAGACCCCCTGGGCGTTTGACACCCACACGCCGAAATCCGGAGGTGACCTGCTGGCTCCTTCCCCCGACCGGTGGCGCGCAAAGCAAGCTCGGGCACCCAGCCTCGGGAGAACCCCCTCGAGCAGGGCAGGGCCCCGGCGGCGAGGCTCCTGGGGCCGCTTGGCCCGTCCCTCGGCCAGCTGCCCCCTACAGACGGGACGGAGCGAGGGAATACGAACAGGAGCGAAGGCAGAGAGGCGACGACGGGGCCAGAGGAACAGCGCGCAGGGACCGAGAGGCAGCCCCGTCCGCCCCCTTCCCAAAAGGCAACCGCAGCCTCCTCCTTCTCTCTCCCACCCCCCCGGCCGCCCGGCCAGCCAGCGCTCTAGGACAGGTGGAAATCCAACCGGGGCAGCAGCTCCTCCTGCCTCTGCGCCAGCTCGGCTAAGGCCGCGGCGCCTCCTGGCCCCGAAAGGGGGCTTCGCCACCTCTCCCCAAAGCGCGGCGCTGCGGCTTCGCTTCCACGCCCAGTCGAGACGTCGCCACTTACCAAGCCGGGCCCGCGGCGGCAGCAGCAAGGGCGAGCCCCTCCCTCGGGCGCAGAGCGGCCGGCCGGCCCACGGGGCACACAGGCAGACAGAGACGGACCGCGCCGAGCACCGACGGCAAAGGCGGCCGCTCCGGGCGCGCGCGAGACCAGAGGCGCCTCTCCCGCGCCGCCACCTCCCTCTGCCCGCCCCCTCCAGCGCGGCTGGGCTGGCGCTGCTGGCCGCTCGGGAACGCAGGAGAGGAGACGGAGCGAGCGGCGCGGTGACGAAGCAGGATTGGGGCGCGCCCGGCTGGAGGCAAGGCCCGGGGAGCAGCCGGGGGGAGCGGCGGGGAAGGAGAGAGCCAGGCAGCCCCTGACTGGCCGCGCTGCCCTCCGGGTCTGAGGATCGGGCCCAAGCACCTGTCTCCCCCCACCCGCGAGATGGCCGGCAGACACCACGTGCATAGGAACCCCCCCTACCCCGCCCCCCATCGCAAGCTGGCAGAGCCCGGGCTGTGGGCTGCCAAGGCCTGCTTTGTTTCGGAGAAGAAAGGTGCCGGGACTGGAAGGAAGCCTCCCCACATTGCAACGGTGTGGGGCAGGGTGTGGTCAACCCGGAGGAGGCGAAAGCCTGCCTGCACATGCTCAGATGCACTCCTTTAGAAATACGACGAGGCAGCTTCCAGGGGTGAGGTCTGTTTCCATCTCCAGATTTAATCATTTCCAAGAAATACAAAGCTATCTTCTTCATTACGCCCCAGTGATCTACTATAATAATTAAGACCCCAGCACACCTTCCATCAATGCTCACTTGAGTTCTAAAGCCAGAAGCACCAGAGCGCAAGCAAGAATACTGGGGGATTGCCTCTTCTGACCTGGACATTTGTTCATTTAAGACATTTATAACCCAAGGTAATTATACAGAGGCACCTAAAACCTATATAACTGTCATGGAATCAAAGCAGCCCCACAAGTAGCTGTGATGCAACAAAAACAAACCACTGGTCAGGTATACTGTGGTTATTCACTAGTGAAGAATACTGCACATGCTCTAAAGCCCTCTTTTTATGCCAAACCGAGCTAAAGCCACTGGGGTTAAAATTATGTCCCCCTCTTCTTCCTGTTTTGGGAAAGGGCAGCCCAGCCACCTCACATACTCATCCCTCCAGACTTCCCTGTGGTTCAGGTGAATATTAGTCTGTTCGAGTAAGTAGCAGGCAAAAGGAATTTGCAAAAACTCCATCTGCAAGCAAGAAGGAAAACAAGGTCTCAGCCTGATCAGCCTCTTTTGCAAATGTGGTGTTCACAGAATTTGAGGCGCTGTGCCAAAGCTGAGATCTTTGCAAGACCTTCCTTCTTTTCTTTGGCATACAAGCTTGTCCTATCTTTTTCCACGTCCGGAATCACATGTATATTATAAAGCACAGGAAAGTTGTTGAGCAGCTCTGAATACAGCTTCCTGCATGGCCTCAACTGATATTCAGAAACCATGGGCGAATCACATGTATATTAGAAAGCACAGGAAAGTTGTTGAGCAGTTCTAAATGCAGCTTCCTGCATGGCCTCAACTGATATTCAGAAACCATGGGCTCCCTTTCTGGTTTTCACACCTGTAGATCAATAAGATGCAGGACAGTTTGGGTGTGGTCAGCAGTTTGCACTTTTTGAGTTACAATGAATTTTGGATTTAAAAATGACTGAAGGCTCTTCCCTGGCTGGGGCATCCCATAATAGGGGTCCCCAATTAGCACAGTACCCAAGTTCACAGCACATCAGCCTGGATGCGTTCTAGCTCTGGGACCTGGGGCTCCAGGCATTCCACAAGAAAGCAGAAGGTTGAAGTGGCAATCCAAAATACACTTACAATAGCTGGAACTGAGAAGCCCCCACTGCATCCCATTTTGACTGAGCAGATATCAGGCGTTCCTTCTTATACTGCTGTCACTACCAGCCTGAGAGCAAATTGCCCATCACCTTACTGTGCAAAGCACCTCCTCATTTCCACTAGCCAAAAACAGAGGCAAAGGACTCGGTCACTGTCTGAAGTGGTGGGTGTTTGCATCATTAAGAGTATCAGAGCAGATAGGAGACAGACAGATTTGCCCCATGGAGCACAGCACACCAGAAAGCCCTACTGAAATCAGACAGTCACCTGAGTGGTACAGGCGTGGCTCTGATTTGAGACCTGTTCAGATAGCTTCTCAAAAGGAGGATCAACAAGAAGGATCATCAGTAAGAAAGCTACGGGTTCTGAAGGAGAACCTTCACACCATCCAGAGGACCAATGAACCATAACTTCTTGGGGCTCACAACCTGTCTCCCTGAGGATCAGTTGCCTTTGAGCACTCCACACAGATCCTGGGCCTTGAACACTCCCAGCATAAAGAGTCAAAGGACCCAGTTCCAATGCCAGGATCCATCTAGACAGGCTGCTTGGGTTAGCAGGTCCATGATGCCACTTGCATGTCCACAAAGGAAGACTCAGCTTCAAGGGGGCTTCATATGGAGCTTAAGGTCACCTTGGCTTAAGGGGGCTCCTGGTCCAGGCTCTGAAAGGCATAGGAGAAGAGGGCTGGGGGGTTGAGGCCAGAAAAATGGGCTTTTCTCTAGCACATTTCGAATGCTGAAAGCAGTTTGGGGACTTGCCCTTGCTAGACACACACACATACAGAATATGCTGAAATTATGAACAGCCACAGACAGCTTTCTGAATCCACCCGCATGCATCACTCTCTTCTCCACTGCCTATTTTGCTAGGGAGAAAAAATCTCACCATGAGCATCATGTGCAAGCACAGGCCCTGCGCTGCTGCACCTCTTGCACCCAGATCGGAGTCCTGCTCTCTCAGGCACTCCTGCAGGCACCAAACGACTAATCCTTTGCTCCTAGCCATGTATTTTAAAAAAGAGATAACCAAGGCCCCCTGCCCCTGCACTGGCTGCCCTTGTGCAATGACAGTCCACCTGCCACAGGCCTACCCTACCTTCAGAGGAGACCAGGCCCAGCTGTGGGCAGGTTTGTCCTTCCTGGAGGCGCCATCCTTGCTCTCAGCATCTCAGCCTGGCTGCTGCTGGTTGCCACCGCGACCGACAGTCTCTCCCCCTCCCTCCCTCCGCAACCCACGGCTGGGATGAGCAGCGGCAGCAGCTAAATGAAGCAGGAGGAAACCGATAATTTGCAGCAGCTACAGACGCAGCCAACAGCTCCCTCTTCCTCTCTGGCTGCCCAACTAATGGCAAGGGTGGTGCGGAGGGAGGGAGGCAAAATCTCGGTGCAGACAGCCACCCCCCTCCCAGTCAGACAGTCCTCCGATAGCCAGCCTCATTCCCTCCTCATCGCCTAGGAGGAGCAACCCCAAGGGAAGGACACCTTGCCCCAGTCTGCACACTCACAGTTGCAGCGGGCAAACCAGGGCAGGAATCGAACACTGGCATCCCGGCACAGGGAGGTTTGTGATGTCACTCTGGCAAGACTTTAGTTGGTGAGGGAGGGTGGGCAGGGAGTGAAATGCCCCCCCACCAATGAGCCTCGTGCTTGTGGGCACAGCCCCACCCCGCGCCATGTGCTGCTTTGAAGCTCCAAGTTGCAATTGGATTCTCAGATCTTTATTTAGATATTTAGACCCCACTTTTCTTCCCAGTCTCTAGTTCCAGCTCCTGCCAACCTAGCAGTTTGAAAGCAAGAAATTGCAAGTAGATAAATAGGTACCACTTCGGTGGGAAGGTAACAGCGTTCTGTGCGCCTTGGTGTTTAGTCATGCCGGCCACATGACCACGGAAATGTCTTCGGACAACGCTGGCTCTTCGGCTTTGAAATGGAGATGAGCACCACAACCCTAGAGTTGGAGTCGACTGGCTTTCGAGCAAGGGAACCTTTACCTTTACCTTTCTTCCCAGTGGGGATCCAAAGCAGCTTACAGCATTGTTCCTCCCTACTCCATTTTCTCCTCATAACAACAACCCTGAGAGGTAGGTTAGGCTGAGAGAGTGACTGGCCCAAGGTCATCAGGTGAGCTTCCAGGTCAGAGTATGGAATTTGAACCTGGGTCTCTCCGATCCTCGTTTGATATTCTGGCTCTCTACGAGGCATTCACACATCCAGTTAATGGGGACTATTCACCATGGAACTGCTACCCTTGTCGGTGCTCAGTTTGGGCAGTGGAAGAATAACCAAAGGTTGACCGTCTCTCCTCTTTCTGGGCATGATACAGCTTGCATTCTCATGACACGCACTTCTGAGTTCACAGCATATGGGCTGACTTGCCCCTTAGCTGGCACCACCCGCCCTTTTGTCACACAGCAAGGTGATTATGTGTGTTAGAAACTTTGGGTGTTCCTTTTTAACAGAAAGGTGGGGAATAAATTTAATGTAATTGAAGAAGGAAGAAGAGCTTCCCCCAGCCTCCGATGCTTATTTCTGGGCAGTGCACAGGCAGATTTTGGATGCCATGCAGGGCAGCAGAGCAAGGGTCACATGGTTTGCTCAGTTCCATGGACCCCCTAGAATTTTCTCCCCTTTGTCCTCTCCTCATTGGCCCTGGATCTGGTGCACCATTGGCACAATTCATTGGGAAAGTCTCCTGCAAAAGCCCCAATGAAAACGAACCAGAGCTGTAAAGCAAGAGCATGCAAAAGCTCCATTCATTTCAACAGCATTCACCACTTCCATTAATTTCAGCAGAACATATCAGTGGTCTGTGCCTCACATTGATTATTGTGTGTGTTCATTTGAATTTTCAGCCTCAGGTGCTAAACTGTTTGGAGCCAGCTCTGCACCCATACTCTTTATTAAAGGACATATATAACATACGGAGTACTCTAAACATAATCCACTTTAATCATGGGTAGGTGCATGGCCACCCCACTTCACCCCTGCAAACAATGTGTGCGGACAAGAATGACACATACCACCACACACAGGTCACCCTGTAATGTCCACTCAGTTGGCGTGTACAAGATGGTCTGGTGCCCTCTGCTGCCTGCACATGGTAGGAGAAGCACAGATCCCATGTCCAGGTCTACTTTTGATGTTTTCCTGTTTGCAGGTTAATTGCAAGTTCCGTTTCCTTATGTGCCTTCCATTGTTT